TGAGTCAGTTATTTGCTTCATAAGCTGCTACTTTTCCCTTTCACATATGATTGCACTTGGGAGTCCTCTTTTGGTTGAGCAACGTAACTTGAATTAATATACCAGAGAGATAAAACTTGTTCATAATTGTACTGTTTATGAGGTGAGGGATATGGAGGAGGATGCTTAGTGTGCCTCCTGCCAGATGGTACTTTGCCTGCAAATAGAAAGCTTGATCTTTGGCATCACACAGTTTTACATGGATGTACAAATGCCTCTCAAAGAAGTTGGGTGGCGTTTCAAATAGTTTCATTGCTCTTCATTTGATTTTTGTTATTGTTGCCTTATTGTTGCTTGGGGGTATAATCCATGAGACAAGTTTACTCAAGAGTTATCTCTAGAGAAGTATCCTTGCAGAATTTTTCGAATAAATGTGTATTTCTTTGAGTAACCCATTCCTGATTTGCAGTACGACTGCTGCCTAGGTTATGTAGCAGCAAAAGTTACTGTGCAGCAAAAGTTGAACTGAGTGTGAGGGAAAATCCTCGAGTCATCCTGCTACAGAAAACTGGGAACAGCTGTCTAATGGGAATGGGAGCTTAAAGCTTGATAATTCCTACTTTTTCCAGAGGGCATCCGACATGATCAGTGAACTGTTCTTTATTTCTTCTTTGGTCCTTTTAAGATTTGTGTGTTACCAGCTTTCATGGTTAAATGTGCTTGCTGAGTGTACCATTTTTCTTCACTGCCAATTTAGAGTTAAGGGACTGTTAGCTTGTGGAAAAAAAACCAAAAAACTTTAATGTACTGTGGCGCATATATGATTTTCTAATGACTATTCAAATCCATTACATCTAATTTAGGAAAGTACTGTTAAAAAGGAGGACTTCCATATGACACATTTTATATTTGAGTAAACTAGTTTCACTGTGATGGTAAGATCTTAGGGTTTGACTTTGTTTCTGGTATTAATACTACATTACATAACTGAAGCCAATGCTTTTCTATGAGCAAAAGCTACCTGCTATTCTTTTCTCAAGTCCACAATTGCTGTCACAATATTTACCGTGCACAGGTTGTGCAAGAGGATTAGCTGAGTGTGTTATGTCGTTTCCTGACACAGCCTACATGTACAGAGGTCATTGCTGTCCTCCGGAGACTGTTCCACTTCAGCACCTGGAGTAATAGGTGAAACATGACAGGGAACTGACCCTTTTGACATTCATGGTAAAGAGAATATGGAAGGATGCTTTCCAAGTTGCTAACCATCTTTCTGTCAAAATCTTCCCAGTGCCTTGATTTTGAAGAGCAGTGTGGGCAGCTAAAGCCACAAATGTTTTAAAAGCAAGACTAATTCTAAGACATACTTATCCTATTCATTGCAACTCAGCTTATATAGGGCCCTTGCATTCAGGGAGATGCTGTTGGAAGGAGTGATGATTTTTTGGCGTTCAGTCAAATCTTGCAGCAGATCAGTATGTAATTACAATTTAGTGCAATTTGCAGTACCACGTAGTCTGTTGCAAAACTCTTGTCACACAAACTGTTGATACCTTGCTGCTGACACCAGGTAATGATGCATGCATTTGCTTGACAGGTACAAAGAAGCTCACTTCTGCACACAGTGCTGAGTTTGTTCTCTGTCACTGAGACACAACTACAGGTGTATGGACACAACATCAAGCCTGGGGAAGATGAGGATCTGGAATGTGGGAAGGGAATTGCGCACAAGCAGAAATATACTTTAGTGCAGAGGTTGACACAAAGTTTAAGTATTCAGGCTAGCTTGTAAATATGATTATTTAAGGTGTAAAAGTGGAATTCTGTCTTCTGTCTATCTTTCATCCCCTTACACATCTGTTTTGGGTGAGTCTGATGATCAGCAGTCCCTGAGTGCCAGGGTGCAGGGGTAGGCATTGGAATCTGTAGCTATGGCAGGGCCTGAAGGGACAGAGGAGCGAGATGTAGGCATGAAAAGGGGCATTGAGCTTTGGTGTACATCATGTGCCTAACCCCCTTCATGCAAAGGCAGAGCTGAGTGCACATAGTCTTCAAAAATATGCAGAATCGTTTTCCCTGTCAGGAAGAACCTTAAGAGTTGTAGCAGGCTTGAACACTTAGCAGGTGTTAAGACTTGGCATGTTTGTTGTGAGTAAATCAACTGCTAATAAGGTGAAGAAATCACATGTCAAGGCAGGTTATAAAACCACAGATCCACGTGGTTGTTGAGATGGTTGTCAGGCTTAGGGGATTCTGAAACTTCCCTTCATTGGCAGACTGCCTGTCAGGGTATGGGTAGGGCATGTGGGAACAATGCTCTCAGGGTACCCAGAATTAATCTGCTCACAGCCTACGTCAGGGCAGGTGTCACAGGCACGCCGGGGTTGCCCCAGCTGCTCCGTGCCAGCTCTTCTCTCCGGAGCCAAGCAGGAGCTTATGCTCTGCAGCTGCTCTTGGATTCTGCTCTCAGGCATGCTCTTTGCATGCCTTGTATAGCTCTTTAGCCACAGACAGCTCAGCCAGAGCTTTTTATCAAAGGTGAATCATGCTTTCTGTCATGCCATAAGCAAGGATTTTTTTATGTCTGTGACTCAGAGAAGAAGGCGGTGGCGTCCCCTCCAAGTCGTAACTGGAGAAGGTGCTTTTGTTTCCCCACTCAATGATTGGAGAGAGGGAACAGATTGATGGCAATTTCAATGTAGACTTGGCTTTCTTGGTGCCCTCCCTTCCTCCTGAGATGTGTGGTGGGTAAGATGAGCTGCAGGACCCATGAGTTTGCAACAGTACAAGCAGGATAAATATTTCTGTATTTCTATCTGGTTTTAAGATGATGGGTGTATGTTCCCCTCCTTTTTTTGGCAAAGGTTAGCCCCATTAGATGTACTGCTCTTCATTTAATCTCCTTCTCCCATCTGTTCTGTCTCTTTTCAGTAGAAACCAAGGAGATGTAGCTCCCACTCAGGCAGACAGATAACTCCATCTCCCATACATGAGAAAATATCTCTGTGTGAAGCAGAGCAGTGCCTTGCTGTGCGCACGTATCAGATGTACCACGAGGGCAGACTGCTCTCTCAAACTCTGATAATGTCATAGTCCCTCTGTCAGCTTATACAGATGAGGGAATCTGCCCCCTTCAGCTAAGTGTTGAATTCCCAGGCCTAAAATAGGACCCAGGGGAATCCAAACAGCTTTTTCCTGAGAAACCAGGTTATCACAGCAGTAGGTAAGAAAAACAAATAGTTCAAGATAAAGCCATAATACAGCTAGTAAATAAAGAACAGTGCATGTAGCTAAGGTATACAGAATTTGTAGATAATTGTCCAATCAAACCTGTGATTATTTGGATAATAAAGCCATAAAGACAGCAAATGTTTATACAGTAAAACTCCATACTGTACTGTACCTTGGAACTCGCTGGTAGGTGGCCATTTCATTAAGGAAGAAATCTTGTCTACCAAGCTCCAGATCTTTGTTTAATTTCCCTGACTTAAAAGATTTTGAATTGTCTCATTGTGATAAAAAATGCACACAATGAGTTCTTTGTAGAGAGGAGCATTATCTTTGAGAAAAGCCGTCTTCATGTTAGTTCTTGTAGTATTACCTCTGTGAGACAAGCAGGTGTTCATTACAAATAGTTATTTATTACTAATGCTGTTATCACCAGAACATACTGTTATCACTGTCTAGGAAGCAAGGCAGTTTGCAGGGAAGCTGCTTTGCTTTTGTTTTGTGATTAGATGCCTACACTTGTTTTTTATTTTCTGACTCTTACCTTTGATGTCCTTGGGAGTTCTGATTTCCTATTTAGTATTAATTTCACAGAAGTCAAGTCACCTTGGAAAGATTAGAAAAATGGTGATTTTTATTCATGCTTCTTAAAACTTCAGTTTATACTACCTTAACAATTTTTAACATTGTATTGTGAAATATTATACAGTCATCTGAATGAGATGACCAGGTAGGTGATAGCTTCCCAGATGACACATCCAGTTTGCCAAGATAGGGAGCAGGGATATATTCCTTCTGCCATGTGGTGGCAGTAAGGGGATGGCACTGATGGCACAAGCACCTGTGATGGGAGCTGCACACCTTTGCATCCAGTTATGTGAAAAGATCTGCCTCGTGTGCAGGGTCCTGTTCTCATTGCTGGAGACCCAGGCCAGGGCTCTGTTCTTTGCTGTTCTGTGTGTCTTCTCACAGCCACAGCTGGAATGGAGGAGACAGAGGGCTGCAAAAACTGGGGGTTGCAGTGTGAATGGTGTGTGTCCTGAATATACCCACGGGGGCATGGTATTTCAACCAGTGATGTAAGAACAACCATATTGTGGAAGCAGCTGTAGATCTGGGTCTTTTCTCCCACTTCTTTTCCATTATGGAAGTTTCCTTAATGCATTTTTAGTTACTAATCCCTTCAGATAATATTAGTTTTTATAAGGCAGAATTTAATAAAAAGCACATGCCTGATGTGCTTACTAATTTTTACCATATATTATTTCATGTGGTAAGGAGTAACTTCTCTGAAAAATTTCGTTTTTGTCAGCTAATGTAACTGACAATAAGTTCTTACAGTTGATGGTATTTCAGTATTATTCCAGAAGGGTATTCCACTCTCATAGAGGGAATGATATTTTTTATACTAGGTATTACTATATTACTATATATAGCAGTGTTTTACTACAAGGAACCTACTTGGCTGTTACATGCACATGTGCTTCTGTTGGCATCTTAAAATGTTTATAAAACAAATGAAATAGATTAAAGCATTGCAGATTGCTGCATCTTGACCAGTAGTTTGTGAATTATCCTGTACTGTGTTCCTGTAAGAGTGTCAACTGTGATTACACAGTGTCTCAAAACTACAGAGCACTAAAGAGATTCTGAAATGGCAAGCTGTAATATAATACATCAGAAGAGGCACTCATGTCTGGTCATATGTTTCTGCAGATGCTTCCCTGTTTTTCATTCTTCTGTTTCTACATGCTGTGTACATTTTTTTTAAAAAAAGTATGTTTTTCTTTCAGCCATTAATGAGTTTCCTGAAGATATATTTACAAATAAAGAACGTCAGCAAGGAGGAATTCTGCTTCATATCATTGCTGTAAGTTACTCTCTACCATGCTTCCTTCTTGTTTTCCTTTTATGTTACTTATTCTATTTTATTTTTTAACAACATGTTAATTATTATAGTGACCTTACTATGTAGAGTTCTGTATATATCAGCAAGTTTTTAATACTTTGATTTCAGTATTTCTGATACCTCTGTATGAATACAATTTCTTAAAAGGTAACACCTTGGGGACATGGTATAGTGGTGGACTTGGTATTGTTGGATTAACAGTTGAGCTTGATGAGCTTAAGGGTCTTTTCCAACCTAAATGATTCTATGACTCCATGATTTAAGAAAAGTATGCAAGTCTGAATTTGCAGTACCTATGCATTCATCCTCTTGGAGATTAAAATCCTGGCAGAATGGATCGCATGTATTTCACATTATATAGACAGAGTTTGGGATTCCTTCATTGTTAACATCAAGCATGATGTGGAAGTTTCTTTAATCTCTTTCTTTTCTTTTGTGCCTCTATGCAACAGATGTAATTATAATTTAAAAAGCCCTAAAGCCACCCTGAAGAAATATAGGCAATATCATGTGGAATTTTATTTTCTCTTGTATTAAAAAACAAAGCAAGTGAGGTCTGCAGGCTACTGTTTCATTCCCAGCTCAGGGAAAGTAAAGTATAAAGGAGTTCTGTTTGATGGAGAGCAGCAGGATCAAGCCCACTGCATGGGCACAGCACATAAAGCTGCATAGGACAGTGGGAGAATCACACCTATGCAGGGAACCAGGATCATTTGTAAGCATTTTCGTGTGGTGATCCATGGCCAGAGTCCACTTATTTGTAGGTGTAAATATTTCCTGAATATTGTTCATCAGCCTGATTTTACTTTCTATATAATTACTTGGTTTGATAATTAGTTAAAAATATAGAAGATGACTTCATAACTTTGTAGCTTTACCTGTTACTTTTCATTATATGACATGTGTTGTGGCATCCTGTTCTCTTAAAGTGTGGTACCTTTCATATTTTAGGGTCTGACAAATGTTCCAAATGAGATCTTACATTCAAAAATCTGGTTTTATGTTGTAAATTTATCAACAGGAAGATTTTAATTTGGAATGAAATAAAAAGTGAAGCTATACTTTTGCTAGTTTGAATAAAGGTAGCATTACCTTTTTTCCTTTTTTCATATACAGGAAAAATCTAAAATATTCCTTGAATGTATTTTCTTTACAGGCTCTTTATATGTTTTACGCTTTGGCCATAGTATGTGATGACTTCTTTGTTCCATCCTTAGAGAAAATTTGTGAGGTATGTTAACAAAAATTATCACTCTTTTAGAAATTTATTTAGAGAGTATTACTTAGATATATTATTTCCCATTAAAAAAAAATGAACCAGTGTTCTGTGTACACTTGTTTCTCTGGCCACACTCAAGAAGAAAAAAAAGTCAAAGATTTGATGAGATTGGATGGCAAATCCCACTCTTAAATATCTGAGGCATGTAACTAGAATAGGTATGGGTTATGGATGGGTTGGATTTATTATTGTACTCCTTTTTTGAAAAGTAACTTGAGGAAAGATATCATAGATAGAAAAATTATTGTGGTGGCTATGCAAATCTTATTGCACATCTGCCACCATGTCAGCAAGGAGAAAGGAAGTATACATGGTCCTGGCATAAAGTGGAAAAAAGAGAAAATCTGTGAGAAAAGTATGTACCTTGGATATGGACTCAGAATAAAAATCCTTTATGCAAGAAAGAAAAAGTAACATAATGGCTTTACCTAATTTTAAGAGGACTTTGCAAAATTACTTTTAGGATTCTAATTGAGTTGATTGTGACAGGGCTTGTAAATGTATGATTTTGGTGAACAAAATAAATACATAATACAGATGTAGATTTTAAATCCTTTTTAAACACAAAATGAAAATCTCCACCTTTGCTTTTAAACAAAACTAAGAGTGACCATGTTCTGAAAAACTCCTGGGTTTTTTTTTTTGTAGCTAGTTTAAGAGTCTCTTTTCCTGTTACTAAATGTACTAAATACCTGCTGGTTTTACTCAGAGTTATAAGCTTACACTCATCAGTAGAAGAACAAATAGAATAATAAGGGAACACTAAAATACTCAATTGGGATCTTTCCAGGTGATCAGTATTCAGCATGCACCTTAGACACCATATTTAAGTTATACTAGTTGGTTGTACCAATTACTGGCAACCGATCCTTAATAAAATCTTTACATTTTGTCTCACATTCTGCTGAACATCTGAACAGCTACCAAGAGTTCAGATAGCACATTTAGGTTTGTGCTCCTGCAGCAGTATGACTGGTAATAGATCATATTTGTGTTTGTTTTGTCAAGAAGTGGAGGATGCCATTGTTATCAGCGTCAGATGTTTTCAGGCAAACTGCTTGAAAAATACAGGATTTTTTTACTTCTCCTTTTGTCCCTAGTTACTTTTCTATCCTTGAAGGAAAAACAGTTTAGTAAGCATGATTGTAGAGACTCTCAAAAAGGAAAAAAACTCCTTCATAAAAATGTGCTTCAAGGGAAAGATCTTCAGACTGCTAAATTGATGCAGCTCACTTGTGGACCTGCACGTGTTTTTGCTGGTCTGAGAACTCTAAGTTACCTATATCCTATTAAAGCTTAAGAGACACCATCATAAAAATAGATCTCTCTACCATGCCCAGCTCTCTCTGTGTCTAACTGGACTAATTTTATCTGTGTCAGCAGAGGACTCACTTTTGGTTAACACAGTTGAAAAGTGAAGCCAGAATCCAGCCTGCTGTTTGTAGGATTTATTCACAAAGGTTGCATTTTTTCTGTTACCAGTTTTCATTTTTGAATTTTAGAAGCCCTAGGAGTTGGGGAATTGAATGACTGTGTTTAGAGTTACAGAAGTAAATTAATGAAAACAATTTGAGATGTTTACAATCCTTTTGAATCTGCAGAGATACATTTCTTTAATCAGCTCCATGTAAGCCACAATTGACTATTCATTTACATACATAACTGTAGAAGTCCACAATGTAAATACAGTAGCAGTGCTGAAATTACCAATTGTTTTCTTCTAGAAACTACATTTGAGTGAAGATGTTGCTGGAGCCACATTCATGGCAGCAGGGAGCTCCACCCCAGAATTGTTTGCATCTGTTATAGGTATGGAGCCCACACACAAGCTTTTTTGAGATCTGCTGTTAAAAATCAGCAGCAGATTAAGCACAGGTACCCATTCTTCTGACAATTTATAATCAGCAATTGCAGCTGTCAGCTAGTCTGTGGTTCATGGTATCATTAACTACTCAAAATATCTCATGAAACTGTGAGTCTTCTCTCAAAACACAGAGAGGAATGTCTGATTCTGAGCACAGGACGCAAAAGAGGAGATTTATTGAAGTCCCTTGAGAAGTAATTTGATATATTTGGAAATAGATTAAGAGCAGCCCTGAGGAGAAAGACTTGGGGGTGTTGGAAGATGAGCTCATCATGATCTGTCGCTGTGCAGCCAGTGTGCACTTGCAGCCCAGAAAACCAGCTGTATCCTGGGCTGCACTGGGAGCAGCGTGTCCAGCAGGCGGAGGGATGTGACAGCTGAAAACTAAGCTGTGAAACAGAATTTACTATTGAACTAACTACTTAAGAAATCATTTACTAAAAGTATATATGTAAAGGTCCTAAGCCACAGCTAGCTAGACTAAAAGACCAAATTATTACACAGAGAAGTGAGCCTTAATTATGAAACATGTTTTGGGTAATCTTTGAAATGGTCTCTACTTCACAAGTAGTACATGTTCTGAGCAGCCTAAAATTAAATTACACAGGTAGTTATGTATGTTTTGCTCTCTCTGCAGGTGTATTTATCACTCATGGAGATGTAGGAGTTGGGACCATTGTTGGTTCAGCAGTTTTCAACATCCTCTGCATTGTTGGTGTCTGTGGACTGTTTGCAGGACAGGTTAGTAAGATACTTGTCTTTATGTAGTTCAGTTGCTTACAATTTAGAGGTTAAAAAAAGGACAAAATCACAGACAAAAATGGCATTGTGAATAACCTCAAAGATTGGAAAGACTATACAAATGCTTTACAAATAGTGAGTATTTCTAAAAAGTTCAGCTGTGGTGTCAGCACTCTGAACATGGAGCATACAGAGGAAACTGGTCCTAATACAGTCCTGTGCTTACGATCAACTGATCGTTGGCATCTTCTGATCCTTCCTGGTACTGATGACAGTCAAAGAATCAGTACACAAGCATGAGATTTGTTCCATTTGCTCAATAGACGATTAAATTGTTTATCATATTTTTTCAGGTAGTAAGTCCAGTATATCCACAGGCACAAGGAACAATTGATTTACTGTAGTACAATGAATTTTACTTTACAATGGCAATTATGACCAAATCAAGTATCATTAGTAAGAAAGGTATTTCAATAATGGAAGTTTCTGTAATATTTTTATTACTGATGCCTATTATAGATCCATTGTCTAACAAATTGGTGGATGGTAATGGTAGTGTAGAACTGCATTTTTCAGAATTGTTGCTAGTAATAATAATTATTCTGCTCACACACCTAAGTTATTTTAAGATGGGGGCTATTGTTTGTCTGTTTCTGAAATCCCATATTTTTGTTGGCTGAAGGTGTGGTGTTTTTCAGGTGGTTTGTCTCACCCAGTGGGCTGTGTTCAGGGATTCTGTGTACTACACAATATCAGTGATTGTACTTATTGTGGTAAGTAGCTCTCTTATCAGTTACTGTGTTTCATTGCTTGAATTTTTGGTGGACCAGCCTGCTCACTATACACACTGGCAAATAATTATTTTCCTTGCTAGTTGTAGTGGCATCTGGAAGTGAGAGCTGAGCTCCACAATGTTGTATAAATACGAAAATTTCATACAGCCTTGTGGAATAGGTGCCCACCATGTCCATCAGTGTCCATTCATTTTGTCCCTAGGGTTTGTAAGGTTCTGCAGGCTAGTAGGATACTGTTGTGCAGTGCAGATAGCACTCTCCTCAGACCAAGGAGACTGCTTGATGTGGAGATGAAAAATTTTGAGCTACTCATCTATTTTAAATAGAGAAGGTGGCTGTTTCTTGCTTCTACACAGTAATTTTATTTCTGATTCTGGCTAAGTTTTTCCATGTAGAGCACAGGTGAGATACCACTTTGTTCATCTAGAGCAGAACAGTAGGTCCTGAATGTACACATTAATGTGTCTGGTGGCAAGGCAGGGAAGAATCCACTTAGTCTGTATTTTGTAATACAAGCAGATCATTAGCTGTGTATTCAGTACCAGCAGTTACACAGGATGGAGTAAAATCTGTATAACCACTTGATCCAAGAGAAGTAAAATGCCTGCTGTTCTGCTACAACTGGTCGAGCTGTTAGAAGGACTCAAGAGTTAAGTTTTTTTTTGAATAAGTGACTTTGCTGTCATTTGCACAGCATAGCATGTAGGTACATGAGTGCATATCTGTCTTTCACATGCTTGCACCATTCCCTTAATAGTTCTTAAAATAGCCACTGACAGGGATCCGGGTCTTGCTCACAAGGTTTGTGTTTTGTGAGCAGCACAATCCATACAGTGGAAGTTCTGGTTAGAAAGGGTCAGAACTTGAGTAGATCTGTCTAGACATAGCAGATATTTGTGAAGAAATATGACAGTTTTTTGAGATAGTCAATTTATGTGTTTCCTTTTTTCCCCCTCTTCTAGTTCATATATGATGAGAAAATAGAATGGTAAGTTGTGTCAATTATTCCATGTGGTCCTGTATTTGCCATGAGGCTCACCAGTAAATAGAGTTGTAGTGTAATTGACTTTCATTCCTCACACTGAGTATGAGCTGGATTGAACACTTAAGAAATCCTATGTGTTTGGTTTGGGCTTAGTTTTTATGATGGTCATGGAAAACTGAAAGAAAATGTCAGAACCAGGAAACATCAAGGAAGTACATGGGCTCTGTGTGGGGCCCCAAGATCCCATGTGCAGAGAGGGTAACCAAAACTCTTATGCTCTGATTCTGACTGCTAACATTTGTGGGGATGCTGGGTGTTCCAATGAGCCCTCTAAAGGGAGTCCTAGTGGAGGATCATAGGCATCTTCTCACAGTGCTCTGAGTGCCTGGCCTGTGCTTCAGCACTGAATTGCAAAAGGCCTTGGTGTTATGATGCTCTTAGGGTAGCTGTGGTTTCAATCTGCATAGCACATTTCTGAAATACATACATTGCAGTTTATTTGCATGTTTATTGAAACTTGAGAGTTTGCTTCTCCTCTCATTCTGCTGAGACACCATCTAATCTTAATGATGTGAGTCCTGTGTGCACAAATGTGACTTGTACCAGATGTTTAAGACACACTCCTACATAAAACTTGTCAAGCATACAGCTGTTGCAATGGACTTCTAACCCTTCTTTCTGTCTTTTTGAGGTGGGAAAGCCTTGTACTCATCATTATGTATTCATTCTACATACTTATCATGAAGTAAGTACTTCTCCTTACTGTACCCTTTTGATAACTGACCATCGTTCTTTTGGTCTTGTTTTTTCCTTGGCCTTCCTGTCTGAGGGCAATACAGCCAGTCATGTTTCTGTGTTAGATCTGTTGGGTTTTATGCTTAGTCAATTTAATTCTAGGTTTGAGCTTAATCATCAGCAAATACTTTCATGCATCCTTTTCATAGTGCACAGAGGTAAAGCGGCTTTCAGAAAAAGTTGAGAAATGTCATTTATATGAAGGTATATAAAAAGTTGGCGGGGTGCTCTGGATTGTAAACACACATGTCAGCTCTTACACATATTTTGTACTCCCTGGAGAATGAGATTAAGGAACATTAGAGTGCTAAGCATGTATTTGTCTTCAGACCATCTCATACCAGGTTGTTTACTGACATCTTCTGTTGTGTCCCTGCCTCTGACAGGAGAGTCAGAGGTCTCACTGTTACTGCAGGTGTCTGTGAGTCCCCCCTTCTATTGCAGATTGCTTAGACTTGCATCCTTTGGTGCCCTTCCCTCACAAATCACCCTGTTGGAACTCCCTTTTCTCCTACACCAAGTCTTAGCAGAGTCACTGACAGCCCTCTTAGGTCCCACCCTAGTGCTAAAATAGATGTATTCTGTCTTTAGAAGGGTATGGTCAGCAGTCCCAGAAATGCTCAAGAGCCCTCCCACAGGGTTCACAGTACTGAAAGAAACAGTGCGGTGATTTGTGAGCTGATGCAGGAGGAAAGAAGCTGCTGTATAGTGAATGTCCTGGCTCCAAAATGGACAGCTCCAGTGTTGTGCCTTCACTGAATCTGCTCCAGTGCCTTTCTGCAGTTTGCTCTATGTCATGAGAGATAGGTGCAGTCCTTGCTTTCCTATCAGCTTGCCACTGAGTTGGACAGTCCTTTCTCTTCACTTCCTATTAATTGTCAGAGAACATGTGTCTAGGCTTTACTGCTTGCCTGCGTAAGTTGTTCTCAGATGGTTTTAAAGTTTGCTGAGAAAATGCAAAAATCCAGCCTTTTTAGAGACCTTTTCTTTGCACTTTCAGGTACAACGTGAGGATGCAAAATTTCTTCACCCTTAAAAGCAAGAATGTTGGAAATGGTGACACAGTCAACAATGAGCTGGAAGATGGTAATAAATGTTATGCCTCTAGTTGTGATGACCCATCCATTCCATTACTATGGAAAGGTAAGGCTGAGCAGACAGGACTTGGAAAAAGAGTAGTTCACAGGATATCCTTTTTTGTTTCTTTTATGCAGATCAAAACAGTGTCACTTCTCAATTGTAAGCAGGGTTAACTGGATAATTCAGTAGTTTCAATGTCACATTAAAAAAAACTTTTTCTATGTTCTGAAAACAAGCTGCTTTGCACATTGGCAATTTTGCTCCATTTTATCTCCTGTTCAGTGATGAGCTACAACATTGTGAAAGAAATACTTTTTTTTACCAAGAAGAAAGCAGTTTTCACTTCAAAATTAGTTTGGAATGAGAAGTTGTGATGTGGATGTTGAAGGAAAGGACACGGGCAGATCACTGGGCAAGAGACATGTTGAGTTCAGATCCTCAGAAGACTGGTTTTCACATGCTTAATAGTCTGTATACATCACCAGACACATATGTAAAATTGAAAAATGCGGGTTCTTTGCTATTTGTGCCCTTGTCATAAAGGAAAGATGATATACAGCTTGTGGTACTGAAAGTAAGCAAAAATACCTGGGTATTTTTGGCTTGTTTTCTAAGCCTGTTTTTATCTGTCTTATCTCTCTTCTCTTCCATTCTCTCTTTTCTCTGTAGAGCAAAATCATTCCACTTTTTCCAAGTACAAACCATGTAACTTAGTGAGCACTTGGGCTGCTCTTAACAAGTGAGGTCTCCTCACTTTGTTCTTTGCACACATTTCCCATCCTAGGAGGCTGAGCTCATCAGCAATGTTGGTAGCATTGGAAAGATCCCCACAAATAATACTAAACAGGAATTTAGAGAATCCTGCTCTGGGATTTCTTTAAGGTAGATATTGGTAGGTATACCTGCCATAAGGTAGATACAGGTTTATTCAGTGACAGCACACTTCTGCTCTGGTCCTAGATAAGGTGTTTAGACAATAATAATGTAAAATTATTTCTCATAGGACATGGTGGTGCCTTTGAAATACTTTCATCTCATTTTATAATGAACTTTTGGGAGCATTGGCTCTGATATACTGAGGTCTGTCACTTGCACGTGGATTTGTGTCCATGCAAGGTTCCACAAATGCTTCCTGTATTCAAGTGGAGACATGGGAGAAGGATGATCCAGTTAAACACCATAGATAGTAGTTGTTTATACTTTTGAGGAATTTTTTGGGTTCTGATGTCATCTCCCAGTAGGCTCTCCTCTCTAGCCCTTGCGGAAAAGAGACAATAGCACAGACTACTTGCCTGTGTGTCTGTTTCCTTTTCAAGGAAATGTGTAGATTATTGAATGCTTGTGAAGAATGTGCAGGAAAAAAAGCAAGAAAGCTCCAGTAGCAGCTGTGCGCATCAGATTTCTTTTCTGATTTTGCCTCAAAGAGGCACTGATACTGCAGTTTCAGTCAGATTCCCTTTGCCTTCTCCAGCACCCATTACACAAATACATGCTGCACAATTGTTCAAAGAGCCAGAGTGTAGATACTGTCACAGGCAAACCTGCCTGAGAAAGTACAGAAAGAAGAGATTAAGGATTTGGAGTGAGCAGTGGGAGGGGAGGATGGCAGTGTTAGCCTAACTGCTTTATGTGTCAAGATGCTGTCCTAGAAAATTGTCACATGGCTGCCTCCAGCTTCTTCCCTCCTGTTCTCTCAAAATATGCCATGACCCATCAGTGACTCCCTCTTAGCTGACACAAGCTGGCTTCACTGCATTTTCCCCAGCAGCAGCTTTCAGATAGGAGCACTGCTAATAGCAAGGGGAGAACTGGAGCTGGCCTCTGCCTTGCACTGCTGAACAGTTTGAGGATCCACCCAGAAACCTCCCTTGGCTTCACCAAGGTGTAGGTTTGACCTTAATCTGAATTTCCACAGGAGGAAAGCCTGATTACTTCCCCTGGAGGAGCAGTTGCTTTGGGTGACGAACTTTGCTTTTAGCAAGGATAGTCTGTTGCTTGGGATGCAGGTGAAAGGTGTAACCCTGTAAAGCTCTTTAATGCTTGTAAGTTTCATTATTTTCAAGAGCTTCCTGTGGTACAATATAAAACCTTTCATCACTCAAGTTTCAGAAAGAAAAAGGAGGTATTTTCACGATAAGAAAAATTTCATTTCAAGGGTGAGTTCTGCACACGCAGGTAAAGGCAAACTACATGTACTTTGTGAATGTTGCTCCAATTTTCAAAGTGCAAATGTGTACTACCCTTGACTTTTATTGTGTTGACCCAAATTTCCACCAGGTGGCATGGTTTGACCCCTGCCTGAAACCAGAAATTTGGACAAAAGCAGGTTTCTGAGGGACTGGCTTTCAGAGCTAAAGTCATCAAGAAGCTTTCTGTCGATTTTGACAGGGCTGTTAGTGCTGAACCTTGGGTGGTGAGCAGTAAGTTTGTTGGAAAGAAAAGCTCTTCTCAGTAGAGTTTTTTTCTTAAGGATTATCACTAAGGAGAAGTGCAAAAGGCTTTTCTCCTTTTCACATTTCTTAAAACTTTTAGATGTAGTCCATACTATATGGGGCTAAGGTATGTTGTTTTTTATAGGCATAGGGAGTCAAACTGAAAATAATGAATATAATAAGAGCAATGTGCTACAGCAAGCCAGAATAGCTGCAGTACTTAAATATATATTTAGTATGAGGTATTCTACAGCAGCCCTGAGTTTTTAATTATGATACTTTTCTCAAAGGTGAGTGTTTGCTCACTCTCTTCATAGGGCTCTAAGAAACAGTTTCAGAGTAACTTCAGTGATCCCATGTTTTTTCTGTCACAGTAAGATGAAGCATTTTGGTTAATTCTCTGGAGGAACTCACTTGGGAACAGTTAATCTGATGAGACTGTTAATATCAGGCCCTTTTGTCCCTGCCAGCATTGCTGTCAAACATTATTTTTCTTTAGCTAAAGCAAATGTTGAGTTTGTGGTTGAGTCCTATTCTGTGAGGACTGATTCCTAGGAATCCTGTCTGGCTGAATATTCCTTCACAGGAAAGCTTCTACACTCCAAGAGTCACTGGAGTGGATGTGCTCCTTATTTGTGTTATCAGCCACAGTACTCAGCAAGGTTAATTTGGTGCAGATGTTGGGATAGAGGAGGAGAACTGCTCCTTTCCATTTAGCAAATGTAAAATTGCCCCTAGTTCTATTCTGTATGAGAGATGTTAAGCTGCAAGGCAGACTCCAGAGTGGATTCTTTGCATAGGGTGCATTTCTTTGTGAAACCAGGGATCTTCTATTTATGACACTTCAGGTGACCCCAGTGTACTCACTGAAACAAGGCAAGACCCTCAAATGCTTGGAAGGGTGAAAGTTAGAGATGTTTATTGGTGATTTACAGGCTTACTGTTTTTTTTTTTGTTGAATCATTATGGAAAATGTATTTCTTCAACTGCAGCTGTGCTAGAAGATGCTTGAGACAGCAAAGCCTTTTTTTGCATGATGTGACTTAGATGCATGCATGGATCCAGTATTCCTGGAAAACAAAAATATTTCAACACTGTAACAATGCAAAAGAGTAACAATATAGGCTTCTGCGTGTTTAGAACAGGTCCATTTAATTCCATTGTTTGAGTTTGAATGTTTTCTTAGATTTCCTTTGCTTCCTGACTGGAACCATGCACTAATTATCTTTCACTTCTACCTTCTAAATTCTCCTCCTCTTCCTAATGTAAGTAACAATACAAAAGGGGAGGGAGAGGGGGAGGCCAAGCAAAGCAAAGCAGAAAACAAGCAGCAAAGAATTTTTTTCTGTACATTCTATGTAATAATTAATATTTATTTTAGTTATGTATCTATTTCCCGCCCTGCTTTCTAACACCACATGGGTATGTCTCCTGTCTGCTGAGCCTTGCTCTGCTTGATTTGTGTAGTCTGTAGCATTTGTGAGAATATTGGTTTGTTGGTGAGCTCCTAAAGTCCTTGCTTGTACTTGTGTTGATTCCCAATAAAATTTTGTCTCTACGTGTTCTTAACATGGTAGAATTTTGTTAACTTCGTCATCTTGGTACGGGTTCCTTTGTATTAACGAAGGCTTACTGTGTTAGTTAGAACTGTAGATTTGTTCTTGACGATCTTTGTCATAATTTCAAATTTTTCTTGTGAGAGATACTGGTAGTATTCTGTGAAGGTGAAGATTTCCAGAAGGAGTGAGAGAGGCATTAGGGCCTTCTGCATGTGCAACACCTTGATCCAATGGAACAGCTTTAGAGGTTCAGGAGTGCTGTCTACACTGCCACAGCTCAAACACTTCTAGAGAAAGGGTACAAAACTCTTGTGGAACATAAGCAAATAAAACTGGTACTACAGTATGAACAGCTGGGAAAAAACTGCTCCCACCAATCTGACAGTGGCTTGGAGGCTGCCTTAGTAGAGTGAAATCCCTTTCCAGCATGTGATCTTAAGAAAGCACACAACTGATGAGGAGAATCACCAGGCTGCAGAAATATCTAAAGAAAGCCACTCATAAATTCTGGCATTCAGATAAATGTTTCCCCCACCTGAGCCTGAAAAGACCCAGCTCTGGATGGTGGGATGTGTGGTAGGGTCAGTTCCACTGCTAACTCTGTCCATTGTGATCATTAGTGAAGGGGATACAGCAGTATGGCAAAAACAGTGTTGTGATGGTGGATGAGATAATCTGCTCCAGTCCTCCCAAATACCGGTTCCCTGAAGCTGGATTACGGATTATGATCACAAATAAGTTTGGACCACGCACCAGGATGCGGATGGCGAGCCGGCTCATCATTAACGAGGTACGTTCATTAGGAAAACAGAGAATGACCATGAGGCAGAGGGGTTACCAAAGAGCTGTGTTCATAGTGACCCTGGAATTCAGATTCTCCCATGTTCCTATAGTTGGGATAGAACTATGTCTTTCTCAAGCAACTGTATGAGAACAAATCTGAAGATTGATTCCCAGCTGGTGATGTTGCCTGTTTTAATGGGAGGGCAGTCAAAAAGGAGGGACTTTTTGTTTACTTCAGTGTGTGTGTGCATATGTGCACATTTAGATTTTATTTATAGCAGAAGAATTGGTTTTGATTATTGCAGAAGTGGTTAGGTTAAGAAAGGATAATGGACAAGGCAACCAAAAATTTTAAAAACTGCTCTTGTATTATTAACACTTCAGGATTCCTTCAGAGATTTACCTACCTCTTTAGTATTCACTGTAGTCCTCAACTCAAAATAAAAATGGAACAAAATATTTTCATGAGGGAAATTTGCCCTGGATGGTTTCAGTTCCCTCTTACTTGATACGTTGCCATGAGTGTATATTGCTTGTTCCGTACCCTGCAACTGAAGTGGCAGGACTTGGCAAGTGTGGCTGTTCTGAACTTGCTGAAGCACTAGGAGTGAAATCTTTGGCCTACCTACCCTGGGTTTTATGAAGGCAGGATTTTTTAGTTTGCTCCCACAATATCAAATATGAGAGGTATTTACTCTGGCAAGTAAATAGATTTCAGCCAGCCTTATGAATTCCACAATAGAAGAAAGCATCATTAATATATTTGTAACAAAAATCCAGTTTGATGGTAAAATAGTGAAAGGTGTTATGGTCAGGAGTAGAAGATCAGACAGGACATATGGCAGTAGTTGACTTTGTAATCCTTGAAGTCAATTCATTGATCAGAGAAAAGTTCTTAATGGCTGTGTGGGTAGAAAGCTGATACTTGGCCCTTTAAACATCTGCAAAAAACATTCTCTAAACTTGAGCATTTTGGATGTATGGTCTTGTGTATTCTCACTTACATATTCACAAGCTTTGCAAAATACTCAGATAGGATTTTTCTCTATTTTTCACTAGAGTATATTGATACTGCTTTCAGAAATTTTTTTGAATCTTTTGCAGTTACTTTATTTTTCAAGGCATTTCAGAGCACTTTTTAGGAATTTGCTATTTGGCAGGAAAAGAGAACACTTTTCAACTCTGCATTACCTCATCTAATGAATTAAAATAATATTTTTATAAAAGTAAGAACTTTAGTAAGTAAGTAAAAGTAAGAATGTTGGATGGAATGTTCCATCTAACATTCTCCAGTGCATGAGTGGGTATATATACTCATGTTTAAAACCTGTCCTTGTAGTTGTTTTACTGTGGGTTGGAACTGCAGCAGTTCTTGTACATGTCTGCAGGGCCAATTATGAGCTTCATGTACTCAGACAAAGGCAATAAGGATTAGTCTTCCTTTTGAAATTAAAAATAGGAAAAATTACCTCAGTGAATGGAGTTGAGAAGGAGGAAGAACAGAAGAGTTGGATCTGAGAAGGAGAGCTCCTGGATAATGAGTCATTCATAACCCAACACTCTAATTGTGCAGAGGTGTCTTGAGTGTTACATTTAATTATGGTGCTATTGCTGGTGTGAGTGGGAACTGTTGAGTGAGAAGTGCTTTAGAATACCCCATTGGTTCAAACATGGGTGGAACAACAAATGTTACAACATTCTCCATCATGGCTTGGAAGACTCCTGCCAGTAATTTTGAAGTGGATGGTTAACCTGGTGAAGCCTGATGCCTGCTGAAGATAGGTAGGCCACTGACAGGTTTGTTGTTGACCAAAAGGAAAGCTTTGAGGAGAAACTTCATGGCTCATGTGACTGGGACTGGACAGAGAGCAAAATTCAGATGTTACCGAGTAAATACTTTCTGAACTGTGGCAGTTTTGTGTTTTGACACTGCAGCGCCAGCGGTTAATCCAATCTGCCAATGGCTCAAGCAAAGCACTTCAGAACAGGAGACAGGAGAATATTGAAAATGGAAACATCCCTGTGGGGAACCAAGAAGAGGAGAATGAACAGGACAGTCTAACTCCATTTTCAGTGCCAGGTAAGGCTTACTTTCTAGATGTTTATAGTCCTGAAAAAGAAGGTAATTAAAATGCTAAATGCTGGGATGTAGAAAGACAACATATGTGGGGAGAGAGGAGGAAAGAGGCCGGTTTGGCTATCTGAAGGATGGATTTGCTGACAGTAAAACTGGGCTGGAGGCTGGGTGACAAAAAGCAGATCTTTGGAAAGTGTTTTCCAGTCATTATGGACAGCCATGGTAGAAGTGCTGATTTGCCAGAGGTGAAGGGAAAACAGGAAAGAGAAGTTTACACTGAAACATGTCAGAATGACCTGATGAATACTTCAAAATTACTACAAATAATTTTGAAGTCAGCAGTTAATAATGACTTGCTGGAAATTGCTAAGCTAGATGCACCATGGTGTATAAATTTATAATAAATTGTTCTAGGGACTGTAGTGAGGGAGGCTTCTTGGATGAAGAGTAAAAATATTTAGGGAGAGAGAGAGTGTTTAAAATTGCTATAATAGCTGTATGCAAAAGTATTCACCTTTTAAAATTTTTTGGAAATTCTTTGGTGTAAAGGGCTGTCTATAACCAATGTCTTGTGCTGGTGCCCTTGGCACATTGCAGGTTGACTCCTGCCCAAATGCTTTGGAGATTAGACAGCAGAGATTAGATCAGCTCTTACAGACATGTAGCCTGTCACATAATTACTGTTTAACGTAAGAATTGCTTGGCAGGGATAAACACCACATCCAGTGAAAAAGAAGAATTCTCCATGTTATATCTAATTTCTTAGTGATCCCATTGCTTCAGTGGCTGTCGTTGTAGAAGAGATGTTTGTGATTGAACCAACATTGAAGCATACTGTGTGAAGATCAGATGATACTGTATGTTTTCCTGTTTTACTGTGCTCCCACAGGAGCTTCTTGCATGGATTGGAGTGAAGAATGGAAGCAAACGAATTCAATGAAGATAGGCCCATTAGATGAGCTTCTGGTCATTCATGAGATAGTGAAAAAAAGTATTTTTATTGTGTGGTGAACTAACAGGATCCAAGTCAGCAATATGCTTGTGCACATGAGCATGTTAATAATAAGAGTAGTAGTAATAATAATAATAACAACAGAAACTAATAAACAGCTCTTGAAAAGGAAAAAGGTCTCCACAAACCATCTAAACATCATGGAATCCTAGAATCATTAAGGTTGGGAAGACCCTCTGAGATCATTGAGTGCAGGCATTAACCCAGCACTGTCGTGTCCACCGCTAACCCAAGTTAGAGAGACAGTGATTCCACTGCTTCCATCAGCACTCTGCTCCAAACCTTGACCACCCTTGCCTCTGTTGGCAAAGAAGACTTTTAAACTGAGATGGTTTGTAACAAGTTCTTGGATAGAAGTTTTGATTAGGGTAGTGCAATCATGCATTTCTTCTTACTTTCCCGGCAGCTTTTTTATGAATAAAACATAGGTAAATTCCAGATAAGAGCTTCCTGAGTGTGTGACATTCACAATAGACAAAATGCTTTGAACTAAAGAGGGAGTTATTAGTTATGTCACTGGTCCTCTTTAAGTGCATTTTTTCTGCATTTTTGAGAAAGTCTTTAAAGATAAAATGAGGTTTAACAGGCCAGAGTGGAACCACTGGTGATTCAATTCATACTGAATGGAGCAAAACTTCAACATGAGCTCAAGAGAGTTGCATAAAACTGAATAAGTGGTTGCATAAAATCCTCATCATTACCTTCAGGTATAATCACTCCTCTTGTCTGGGGTGGATTATCCATTGGTTGGATTCTCATTGCTCAACTCATGTGTTCTGGCTGAGAATTCTTTCGTTATGCTTTCCAAAGCACTACTTTAATGAGTTTGGTGAAATTGTGAGGACCCAGCATCACGTTTTGTTGTTGTTTAAGTACTGTGGCGCAATCAGTAACCTAAAAATATCTGGACATTGAAAACTGGCTTCAGGGAAAAGGTAGCTTGCAGAGAGTGTCCAAGAATCCCCTCTGGTCTTCTTTGATTTATTTTCGGTCTGGGAATAAGACACATACATTTTCTAAAGATCAGAAGTTCATGTATTTTTTCAGTACTGGAAAGTGCTCTCTGAAGAATAGGCTTTCACTTTTCAATATGACTTTTCAATTCAGTTGGTTGTGGTGTCCTAGGTAAAAAATCCACTCTTGTATTTCAGGAGCTGCAGCTGCAATGGCTGTGTGTTGGCAGAACCCCTATTTTGTGCTGTTTTGTAGTCACATTCTTCAGCCTAATTTGGGATTTTACTTTCTTCAAATTGCGTATTCTAGATACTTTTGCAAGAGAAGTTTGTGGTTTTTTCTGAAACAGAAGTATGAAGTTTCATCTCTGAATTAGTTTAATCTGATGACAAATTATTATTTCTCATCTCAAAATGCATCTTTTACATTTTGTTCTTTTTTTATCCTTTGTCAACAGGAGTGCTCAGCAAAAAGTGTAGGGCTTTAGCAAGCAAAAATAGAGAATATGGTTGTTACATGAGAAGAGCCTCATGTATCCCCTTTGTCAAACATCCAGAGAGATTCACTCCTGGGTGTGGGTGTGGTTCAGAACCATCCTGAAAAAGGAGACAACATACAGTTTTTATGGAAACTGCATATGATATCATTCAAACAGCCTTTGCCTTTGGTTTCTGTGTGGGAAAAACACATTATCTTTAGAAGAGGAATTTCTTTCTTGACCTAACCTTTAGATGTTGATGATTATCTCCCAAGAGAAAGGCTCATTTGAAGCTTTACAATGTGATTACTCTACAGTTGTTTGAAAACAGGTCTTAAACTTTAAAAACACACCCCACAGATCAGAATAAAATAGGACAAAACTGGGCAGGCATATGATGACAACAAAATGGTGTGTTAAAGCCCTTGCATAGCTCCGTGGTCTTTTAGAGCCCAGACTCAGAAAAGCACTTCTGTGCAGCTCTTAATGGATGCTTAAATCCCTTCCATTGTCACATGTTCAGCACCCTTTAAAATACTCTGTGATCTCAGCTCCTGATCATTTCACAGGAATGAAGAACTACTTCTCTTACAGAACTGGAGCATGGATGCTTTATATAAGTCATGATGGTGTTAGCTAAAACAGGAATAATAATTCATTGAGCTAAAATGAGATGGCAATAAAGGAGATTAGCAATCCTATCCATTTTTGTTTGGATCCAAAATACAAAAATAACATGTGGGATAGAAGCATCTACTAAAAACATGTAAAATGTTTGTACTTGGTCAAAACAAACATTTATCTCAATATTCTGACTCCAGCCATGATTTCATGAAGAAGCCTGGGGAAGAGTGAGACAGGACAAGTTGATGTTCAGCTGTTTTCACTTCAAGGAACTTCTTGGTCTGGATGTAAAATTGTGATCTAAAATTCCTTAGTGTGTTTCTTCTTCATTAACCTAATGTTAATGTCTAATTATCATTGAATCTTTGCAAACATTTAACACCCACAACATCCTTTGGGAAGGAGCTTCATGATTTTGTGAAGAACCTTTTACTTACTTTGAACCTGGCTCCTACTCACTTCACTTGATGTCTTCCTTTATTGGAAACACAGTGGACAAGGCAAACTAGGTGCACCTCGCTTGAGCACTCAGGAGGCTGTAGCTCTTTGTTAGACAGCAAGGTTAAAACATACAGAATAAACCAGGCCAAAATCCAGACAATTCTAACAAGATATGGGGGGTACCTCTGTTCAGTTGCATCTTACTTTTATTGAATGTTGTCTTGTGTAAACCTATGGTAACTCTGAGAGTAAAGATCATTTCTGTGTACTGGAGCAAATTCTTTTTTGTTAGACCAGTTTTCTCTGTACCAAAAAATGTGTATTCAAGAGAAGATTATTGGCATAAATCCAAATATTCAAAAAGTGGTAAAGGCACAGGCTGAAAATAGAAATCTGAGTTGTTTTGGACAGATTTCACGGTCTGGAATTTGGAACTTGTATTCTGGAAAATGAAACTTCCGAGAAGAGTATCAGTAGGTTGAAAAATAGTCTGTTTTGGATGAGGATGAGAAGTAAAACCTTGGTATTTTCCAAAGGAAGAAAAAATCTCCAAAGGTCTGTTGCAGGAGAGCTGCAATAAAAATATTTTATTATGTCTGCTGCCTACTTGGAAGCCTCTTTGGGTACTGTTTTACACACTACATAGCCTATTTCTAGTGTGCTCATACAGAGAATCTCTTGCCTCCACAATTTATACGTTATTTGCAGAGCTGGAATCAGTAAGAATTTTCCAAGAAGGTGGAGAGTCAGCTGCTGTGTTAATTTTCCTAATGAAGAATTGAAAGCCATTTTCTAACATTTTTTTTTTATTATTTTGCAACAGATACTTTTTTGTGGAAAATAATCCTGTTGGAAAATTCACACTAGATCTAGTTTGTTGTATCTGCTTCATTTTTTTTCTCTGTTGTGTACCATACTTGGGAGAAAAATTTGTATTTCTCTGTTGTGTTTTGGATACTGGACATGACTGGAAACTAATTAAGTTTTCAGATTGTCTAATTTACTTACATTGAAGTTTTCCAATCAGTCTGAACTCTGATGAACAGCATTTTCTAAACAGAAATTTACTTGCTGTCTGGGTTATTACAAAGTTCCTAGTTTAGAGGCATATGTATTACTTTTACACGCTTTTGGGTTGAGAATTGACTTGATATTGATAATAATATGTGGGTGTAAATTCATCTTTGTAAATACAAAGCTTAATTAGAACCAAGGGCACAGGTGTTTGGAAAATCATTTTTAATTGGAGAAAAAACATGTTGAGATTTTTTTGTTTGGTTGGTTGAGTTTTGTCCTTCCCAAATGAAAAAATGATAGAGAGATTTAAAAAGATAAAAAAGGAATTAAAAAAATTAAAAATTAAGTGAAGCATGAAAAAAGTTTGCAGCAGTAATCTTCTTAGGCAAGCCTGGATGTGCCTCATTTCTACCTTAAGTTTACCATTAACAAAAAATCCCTGGAAAAACAGCAATCAGTAGGAAACTTCAGGAAGCCTTTCTCATTTCAATTAGACAATACCTTTCCCAGTTTTCAAGTGACCTTAAGAGATTTATAGGAATTCACAAACATACTGTTATGAAGCTCCTGTGTGCCAGTTAGATTCATGCCTTTCAGAGATGTTATATTTTTTTGGATCAGTCATTGCTTTGTGTAAGGAGATGCTTCTTTCACTTGGGAAGCTTTAGGCATGTTCTGAAGTAAGTCATGTTTGGAGCTGAGATCTGTGCTTGGCTGGCATGCTTTTAAAGGGAAAGCCAAGTGGAAAAGCAGTCAAATTTAACTAGCTACAGTAACTTAGATGTGATTCCTGATGGTGTAGTTACAGGCTCCACTCTGTTTAAACTTGAAAAAGTGTTTTCTCTGCAGCTTATTTACTAGGACATGTGGACTGCCGGCACTGTGTGCCTTTGGAAGTTCTGTTTCAGACTAGCTCTAGCTTGGTCCCCTGGATAAAATGCCCATTATTACTTGGAGCACTTTTAATTTTGTACCTCTGGTTCTGCTGGTGTGATTCAAGGCTGCTCCATGTTGCAGACTAAAATTGCAAACCAAAAAACACTTAGTGGGGGTCAATCAGTGTATTTACTTCAAGATTACACTTCTGGTCTAAAGGTAAACACAAATGTCATTTCACACTTTTATATTGAGCTCCTCTCAGCTGCCTGATAGTGTTGCAAATAGGACTCTATTTTTTTCTGTAGAAAGTGTTTTTCTCTAGCTCCTTAAGGAAATACTTGTTTCTTCTCAGTGCTGTGATATGTGTTGCTGGCTTTGTGCAGCAGGACGCACTATCTGTATGTGAAAGTAATTACTGTGAGCATAACATCTGGAAAGATGACTAGCCCAGGAATGTGTTGAAAATTAGCAGAGCCCTTTGTTGTAGGGCTGCCACTTTGTTTTCAGAAACATTGTAATCAAGCTGTTTTGTAATGATACTTCTCTGAAATACTTGGCATGCTTGGCTTCCAAATATCTGTGGAAACAGAAAAAATGGATGTATGAAGTAGTGAAAACAACTCCTTGCAAACAACCCCTCATCTTGTTTTACCGCAGAGTGTTGTGAACAGAATGTAGACCAGTGTTGCTTTCTGTAATAATATTCTGTAATATTATTTCATTATTGGGAGGGGAGAAGGATGCAAAATGCACTTTTCCTCAGTTGTGTGGGTTGCTGCAGGAACCTTTAAACCCAGGGCTCACAGGAGTGGGTGGTACCACTGTAAAACAACTGTGCTGGGGTCTTGTAATGGGACAGAACAGTGGTGTAATGAATAATGGCCTAAATGGGAATGATAATTTTCTTCCTTGCAGATGTACTAGGGAGCTACTCAAGAGTTGTAAAACAATTTGTCATGAGCTATTAAGCATACTTCACTGTAAAATCTTTATCATTAAATATTTTTAATTGTTATTTTAGAGTGGGTGGTCAAAACCAAAACAACAGAACAGCAAAAGTACTTTCAAAAGAACTAAAAAAAATACTTTGCATCTTCTAGCTGTGTATTGATTGTGCACTCATCTAAGCTAGGTGAAATAAAGTCATCAGTTTCCTGAAAAAATTAAGTCCACTTCATTGAGGTTGCTGCTAAATGTACTTGAAAGTCCTAAAAAACTGCCAAGTTACAGCATAGGAGTAGACTTCTTTAGCCTATGTGCCATGCAAGTTCATGATCCAGAACAGTAGGAGCTGAATGAGAAGGCCTGAGGTAAAACCAAGACCAACTATACTGAAGGCTTATATAAAAGCTTATAAAAGCTAGAAAACCAAAACATGAAAGAGAAGCCAGTGCAGAATGTGTCAAGTAAGCTGCTTTGGCCATGGTGGTTCCAAAGTATTACAGGCTAACTGCAAATGGCCACTGGGCTTCTCTTGTTAACCCAGCAAACCCCAGAATGACACACTGCTCTTCCCCAAAGTCTCAAGCCTGTTGCCATGTAATGAATGCAAATATCACTCCCACAAACTATCTAGCTAAGCAATTTCAACTCAAGACGTTGTGTGAGGAAAACATCACCACTAATAGAGCCAGGAATTTTAATCTGACAGACATCCATTCAAACTCAGCAAAGATAATGGAAAGGCAAGCCCTCCTCCACTAGTAATTAGGTTTTCTTGGAAATGAACAAACAGAGCTGTGCCAGTGGTAAGGCACTACACATTCTCAGTTAAGCATTTGTTTGAGTAATTCAGGATGCTAATCAGGATCCCAGACAAGATGTATTCCCCAGCAGAGACTCTATTTGTTCTTAAGGCAGTTCTGTTTCTTTTATTTATGTTACTGAAAAGAGAAAAGGCGCTGCCTATGTGTAGCAACACCAAAGTCAGTCAAATTACACCCACACAGGTCAGAATTGGATCTACATTTTTTTCAATCAGTCATCCACTGACCCTGTGTTTGGGATTATGTGCTGAGGATGTTACTGGCCTAGGCCAAGCTGACTTGTTGGACTATGAACCAAGCTGAGCAACTTTAGTACACAGAGTAAAAATTAACTCTCTAGGAGTCTTTAAGTAATCCAAACTGTAACAAATTAAGCAGGAGCAGGTATAAACCACCGTAGGATATTTTGTAAAATAGTTACAGCCTTGTTAAAAACTAAAGAGAGAAGTGAGCCAAGAAGTGTCTTTTCCTGGACAGAACAGGCAATAGATAACTGTTTTTAAAAAATCTGTGCAGAAGTATACATAAGCAGAGAGAAAAAGATCTTCCCTGTAAAATCTGTAATAGATCCTCAGTGACATGTGAAAGTCTAGAATTAGAAATGACCCTGGGACACTTGAGTAGTTTTATGCATTAGGAGTTCCACAGCCACAAGCTATAACTGGGACGAAAGAGCAAAGCTTAGTCTAAGATTTTCTGCGGAGTTTAAGGCATCTCAAGTTAAAAAGCTATTTCATAACTCAAGCAAGAAAATACAGTTCTAGAATGTATACAAAAATAAGTTAATAAAGACATTTGGATTCAAACTAAACTAGGAAGTAGCCTCATAAATGATAAAAGTATTATGAATTTTAAAATGATAAATATTTAATTTCATTGCAACCTGGTGCACATTGGTCGAGATGGCTGAGTTCAATCCAATTAAAATCACACAACAATTCCTGTTAAACACATCTTAAATCCCAAAGTCTTTGCTGAAAGAAAATTACTGGTGAAATTGATAGGAGCTAGTTAGTAAATGTTCTTTATAATGTAGCTAAATAACGTTGCTGAAAGATGTACCTGATTATTTCCTTCAATGTGATCAATGATTTTATTCAAAACAGCATATTTTAGTAGATCTCAAGCATAGAATCATGAGTTAATGATGGAAATACAATGGAAAGAAAGCCCAAGCTAAAATGGCCACGATGTTGGTTGTGATACTCTCACTCAGCCTGAGAGACAAATTTGTCATCCTGCTTGAAGGATGCCTCGTGAACTGTATGAATAGTCCCCCATTTACTTATGGCCCAGTTATAAAATAGTTTTGTTTTATGTATTGAGATTACATTTGCAGTACTGTAAATTTTAAACAAATGGCAAGGTGTGTACCAATCTTCAGCGATGACAGTTCTTGGGTATTTCTCACCAGCTGATTTTGGAGAGCTGTACAAGGGAGATCACTCCCTTGTTTCTTTTCCCAGAAGTTTTCTTTTACCATTTCAAGATTGTGTTGTATGCAGATAGAGAGACTTAACAAATCTAGATCTTCTAAGTATTGGTTTATTTAAACTTCTGCCCAAGTTAGAGCAATAAGGCATGTAAAAAAAATTGTCATGTTCATAGGTTGGGTCTTGTGCTTCTGTTTTCTGTTGCTGCACAGAATGTACAAGTTATTTTCACCACTTGGACTTTGATATTTCTGTTAAGGTGATAGGGTGGGGTTTTTGGTTGGTTGGTTTTGTTGTTGGGTTTTTTTAAAAATTCTGGATTAGTGGTAATACAATTGAAAGACCAACAAATCTGACTTAATTTTGGTTTTAATATCAGCTGTGATTTTAAATCATTGTAATTCTTCCATGGATTTTCATAGATGTTGGCAGGCTTAACTATAAGAAGATTCTGGATGAGCAAGCAGAACTTGGCTGAAAGTGACAAGGCCAAGTATAGTTTAAAGGTACCCTGAAAAATGAGCTGCCGTGCATTATTGTAAACATCCTTCTGGGATCATCTGCTCTGCTGAAAGAGGTGTAACTGAGCCTGGCATAGTGATGGGAAAGCTCAACTGTTTGTTTCCTTTGTCCTGCAGAGGGAAAAATGAACAAAATTAAATGGCTTTTGACATGGCCGTTGATATTTGTGCTGTTTGCCACAATTCCAAACTGCAGCAAACCACGCTGGGAGAGGTGCTTTATGCTGACATTTGTCTTGTCCACTCTCTGGATTGCCCTGTTCTCCTACTTCATGGTGTGGATGGTAAGTGTATGTAGCAGGACTTCATACTGAGTGAAATGTGCATCTCAAAGTATGTAAAAACCTTCTGTGCATTTGTCAAAGAAAGGCATGTAATTGTAGTGCAGTCTCTTCACCTCATACAATAATTATTATAATTGTAGATTTTTGCTGCCTTTTGTTCTGCAGAAATAATTGGGCCTTTACTGTATAGGGCACAATACAATACAGGAAGGTGTTGGAGAACATCTATTTTCCTTAAATGCCTGTCAGGCATTTGAAAATCACTTTATTTCCTCTCATGAAAGATTGTGTTTTCTGTGTACTTTTTGCAACTTTCTATATAATTTTTGCATTGTAAACCAATCCTCTAACATAGACAGTGCCTAAGAAATTCATTTGCCAGCCAAAGGCACACATTTGTATCCTATTATATGTCCTTTGGAAGGTCATACTGTGCACCTTGGTTCCATATATAGCTATTCCCTTCACAAGTGAGAGAGGTGCTCATTAAGGCTGCAGCCCATACTGCTTTCAGAGGCAGCTGGGCCACAGTACCTTGTTAGCAGTCTCAGCAAGAGAGTCATGCTGACTTCTTTTCCTGGGCCTCTGCTTGCCCCTGAATATAAGGATTGTCAGTGGAGTTCCTAAAATACACCTTTTCTTTAGTGTAGGGTCCAATTTTCCTCATGTGATGGACTGGCAAACTATTTCAAGAAAACAACACGTAGCCTAGAAGACTTCCATCCTTAGCAGTGTCAGCAGGGAAACAGCTGTCTGTCCCTGGGCCAGTCTTCTCTCACACGAGCCTGCTTCCTTTTCTGCTGCCTTTTCTTGATGTTTTTTCAGCCCTCTTTGGATGTTCCAGCTAAATACAGTTCTCTGTCCTTTCTAAGAGCTCTGCTGCAATCTTCAGTGATTCCTTAAGCTCTTTTCAAGCTGCATCTGGAGTATCAGGGGACAGCATAACCAGACATGCTCCCTTCAGGATTATATGAGAAGTCACACAAGAAAATAGTTCCTTCTTCATGTGTTAGGTTATAATAAGTTCTTTATATCTCTGCCACTGTATTACAATATAATATCAGTTGCAGTCCTTTTGAAAATAGAACCAGTGAGAATCCTGCCATTTGTAGAAACCAAAAAAACTCCAAACCCACAGATTTTACTGTATCTCCTTAAAACAGCATTATGTCATGTTAGTACAGCAGGAAATGGAGATTTTGTTTGTCCTCAGAATGTTGAATAATAAGACCCAAAGTACTTTTCCTGTGCACAGGATTGGTTTTAGGCTGGTTATTCCACAAGTATTTAATTTGCAGAAATGGATAAGTATTCTGAGTCTATTCCTGTTAGAGTCCACACCAGAAATCAAAGTTAAAGAGTATACCACAACTGGCATACTCTCCTCATTGGAATGAGGAAACTTTCCAAATATGATGAGTTAATCTACCTTCCTCCTTGTTCAGGTGACTGTGATTGGATACACCCTTGGGATACCAGATGTGATCATGGGCATTACTTTCCTGGCTGCAGGAACAAGTGTCCCAGACTGCATGGCCAGCTTAATAGTAGCAAGACAAGGTAATGTGTCTGCTGAAGCACAACTGCAATCTTACATATGTAAGATTGTTTCCTCCATACACACAAATTGTCAATGCAATTTTATAATTTTATTTTAATTTTTACTGTTTGAGAACCTCATTAAAAGCCAAAGCTATTTGCTAATTATTGTGAACCAAAAATTATCTTTTGCTTATTGGGATGTGGGACATTCTAGCATTCTAGAGGGTAATTCAACCTCAGATGTCCCATGCATGTGTCAGTCAGGGTAAAAAGACAAAAGTTATAGACAAAATAGAATATCAGCTATTAAAAACTATTTTGAAGAAGTAGCACTGACCAGCACTTCTCCATGTAAAACTTGTACTGATTTCTAGAAGACCTCTCAAATCCAAGGAAGTGAACTGCTTTGAGAGCTGGCAGAAGTGTTGTTGCTCCAGGCAGAGTTCTCATCCAAATGCAGACCTCTTTCCCACTGGAACACATGAATAGCTGCACTGGAAAGAGTTTTGGATTACTGACATCTACATTCTCCTCAGCTGTTCATTTAAAATTGTCAAAGGCTTTCTCATCTTTTAATTTTGTTTAAGTTTCATCATGTTTTCTTTTTTATTTGTAAAATGCTAGTAGCAGCATCCCTTCCTGTTGTTGAAAAACATTAGGGCTGACAGTGTGATCCTCTGCACAGCAGTAGAATAAGAAAAAGACCTAATTTTATTCTTTTCCAGTATTTCAATTCCCAAAGCCTTTTTTTTATCAGATAATGATATCTCCAGCACACATCATTGAGCAAACAAGAAGGGCTTTTAAATGATAAATTAAGTCCTCAAAAGCCCCACCTTTGTAATTTGAGATAGGAATAGTGCTGTTAAATGTTGCTTACTTGAAAAGTGTTATATATTTAAAGTAAATAATTTTCCATGTTGCATTATTTGTTGTGTACAGAATATTCTCACAAAAATAGTACAACAAAGTCTGCAGAATTATTATGGAACCACCTTCCTACTAAATTTATTTTCCATGTGTATTAATTTAAGTGAGCAGGTTTTTTCAGGAACAAGGAGGATGTTGCATTTTTAAATCAACAGACTACTTCTTTAGATTAGTTCTTCTGTTGTACTGGACAATAACACTGCAAAGATTGTTTTCTCTGAAAATTAAGGTAAGCACTAGATTGACAAAAAGGAGCCCAATGCCCTTAAAGACAGTACAGGGACTTTGCACACTGTTTGAATTCAAGGATTGTTCACTGCCAGAATGCAGACAGGTATAGATGGACACTACCATCATGAGATCCAAAGCATTACCTTGCAGATCGTGTATTTATGGTATGGTACTGTCTGTCTGCACTCTGTTTTCTCTGAAACTATATTTGGGACATGTCCCATTTATGTCACAGTTCCTTTTCACTTCCTTCCTTTCCAGTATTCACTTAGTGGAAGTGATTCAATACTTAGGCCAGGTCTAAGGGAGGTTAGCAGGGACAGAAAGAATTTTGCCTTCCTTCTATCCACTGACACTGGTGCAGAATGAGATGCCAGCCAGTGGTGAGCATTAGAAGTAGATTTTGAATTATACTTAGGTGCTTTACCACCATTTACCTTTCTTTTCCTTTCCTGTAGTATTTTACTGGTTTTGAAGTGAAATTACTACTGATTAAGCCCCATGGAAGTGCATAATATCTTTGACTATCATCTGGCTGGTTATCTCCAGGATCTCTCTTAATTCACATGATGCAAAGGTCACATATCCGCATCGTAAATACAATACATAATCTTCAGGTTCCCTGTGACTGCAGACTACCTAGAACAAGACTTTGACATAGACCTTGGGTGCTGCATGGCTACCACACACCCTCTAAAGGCTTTGCAAGACACAAGGAAGGTGTGGTTGGAGTGAGCCATTTTTGCACACTTTTTTCAGAAGTCAGGCCAATGTTAGGGAAATTGTCTCCCTACCTCAGATACTCTGGCCAGTTCAAGGGGGATGGGATCAATGCAGATCATTCCCCTTTAGCTTGCTCCAGTGCACATAGTAGTGGCCATATACTTTGATTTTATCAAATAGACATTTTTTTATGTAGACATTTTTATCAAATAGTTGTTTTTTGGTTTTTTTTTCTCTGCAGGCCTTGGTGACATGGCAGTATCCAATACAGTAGGGAGCAATGTCTTTGACATTCTGGTGGGACTTGGTGTTCCATGGGGTTTGCAGACCATGGCGATCGATTATGGATCAACTGTATGTATACTTGGCAAATCTTTCATTTGCACTTTATTTCTATTTTTAAAAAATCCTAAAAATAAGGCATGCAAATAGAATAAATTTAAAACCAACCCGTTGAGCATGTTATTAGTTGCTAAATAAGGTGTTATTTCTTTGCAAAGGAACCCAGTTAAGAAAGCAATTTGTCTTCAACAAGCTGCAATTAATTACCAGTTTGTCAACTGGAGTACATGCACTGTGTAGCAGAAAACTGTTCCCATGGGTGGGTCATGGCTCTGTCATTTTCTTGCTACACAACTTCCAGCAAACCTGTCTCCATGTACCTCAGCATTTTTGTACCTAAGACCATATAGCAGCATATCTCTCTCTTCCGAGGATTTTTTACATAAAATCCATTATAAATACTCACTTCTTTTTTTAATGGAGATGGGATTACTTTGCATTTGGTTTGATTCCTTAATCTTCCCATTCTTCATTAGGATACATCTGTTACGGATTTGCATAGTTTAAAATATGTATGGCACTGTTCAAAGCAGAAGGTGGACTTTAAATCAGTAAATTGATTTTTGATCTCCAAAGCACAGTTACATGGTCAGCATTTTAAAAGTATTTTCTGATTTCCACAGGTTAAAATTAACAGCAAAGGATTGGTTTATTCAGTTGCACTTTTGCTAGGATCAGTGGCACTAACTGTAAGTATTAGAGCATCTACAAGTATTTCAATTTGAAAATGCTTGTTAGGTATTTACATGTTACAGAAGGATAAAATAGAAGTACTTAGCATTGATTTCTTCTAGCACTACCATGAGTTGAAGAGCTACCATTGTCCTCAGTGAGGACTGCAATCTGGCATTTGGTGCAAGAGATGCTGGATATGTGTAGGTCCCATGGATTTCAGTGGCAGTGTTGAAATTTTTGAATCCAACAGTACTTCTGTGGTCGTATGTCCATACCCTGGCCTGTCTCTAGGCTGACACAAGACCTGTTGTCTCTAATTTCCAAACCCAGCCAAAATCAAGTGCTGTAGCCTAAACCCTTAGTGAAGACTGGTCTGTGAGGACTGTGAACCTCAGGACTTGGATGAGACATGCTAAATGTGACTCAGCATGAGAGACCCTTGTAACCCATGACTTCTTAAGGTGAAACAATAATTCTGTTTGAAAAGTCAATTTTGCTGGCACTTAAGGTCTGTTCCTGCTTGACTCCCAGGGAACGCTCTGTAGGAAGAATCAAATCAGGTATAAGGAAACAAAAAGGTATAAAAATATCCACTTCTACTAACATCTTTCACTGATTGCCTGTGGAGGCGTTGTAGAGGAGGTGGTCACCACTGGAGATTTCACACTGTTGCATGACTAAGTCTTACAAAGCTTCATACCACCTGTGCATGACTTCAGTGGTAGAATGGCCAGGGCTGTCCACTCTGCTACTAACTTCCTATGTATCTGATCTATGAGGTGTGAGAAAGTCTTCTTTCATTTCTTATCCCCAGCCTGTCATACTGCACAGTGCCTGTGAAACAGCACCGGTGTTCTGTGCACATTTGTATCTGGTGTTGCTGCATGCATATTGTTAATCAGCACATTGGGGAAAATGGGAGGATTATGCAGAAGCATTACTGTGCTAGCCCTTCATGCTTCTCTGAAAAGAGTCTTTTCCTAGCAGAAGCCAGATCACCTGAGTTTGAGGCATCTCTTACAGTCTTCTTTTTTCTGCTGAGTACCCTGATTTGCACAGACCCTCCCACAGCAAATTCAGAGGAAAGTTTTGAGCAAAATAATAATTCAGAGGCATTGAACACTGTGGAAAATAGATGCCTTCATGAGGATTTTGTTGCTTTGCTGCCTGTAACTTGTAACCCCTTAGTTCTGGAGCTCAGCAAATAAGCAAGTAGAGCACCTCTTTTGAAGGTGTTGAGAATGGGCATTTGGTGCTGGCATACTACTGGGACATAAAGGATTTGCAGGGGAACACTTGAGGGAGGGACATTAATTTAGTTTAGTTCATTGAATATTTTGTAAAACAGTCATAGGACAACTGAGACACAGAGCCAAGTCAACAAGGTATGTTGCCTTTCTGATCTGTAAAATACTGAGAGTATATTTTTGTCTTCCTGCAAGACCTCTAATTCAAAAGACTCTCATTTTTAGCTTATAATGGTTGTTTCCAGAAGGCTCCTTCAGAACTTTATTAACTGACACTCTGTTTGCTTGCAGGTGTTTGGAATCCATTTTAATAAGTGGAAACTTGACAGGAAGTTAGGCATCTACGTGTTGCTTCTTTATGCTATTTTCCTGTGTTTATCGATAATGATAGAGTTCAATGTCTTCACCTTTGTCAACTTCCCTATGTGCCGAGAAGAACTTTAAACCACAGCAAGGAGAGACACTGAAATTCTTCTGATTACACTGGCTGTAAATGACAGGAGGCATTTCACATTTCTATCTTCTTTCCATCAATAATTTGAGTGTCATTCCTGCTTAATCAGCTAACGAGCACTTTTACCTATATGGAAGGAGAGCATACCTTTCTTTTAACATGCTAGCTGAAGGCAACCAAAGCATTTTGCTCCTCTTTGGATATTGCTGCTCTGTCATAAAGCTACGTGGATCTTACACAGAACTCTAAAAGGACCCGTTCCTGGGCATTCCGTTGTGGTTTTCTTTCTCCTTCTGCAGACAATCAACCACCACCATCACAGTTAGCAAGAGGATGGGAGAAAAATCTTTATAGTTCTTTTGGTTTTGACATTTACTTTCCATGGAAGGATAAGAGGCAAGTTCAGATCCTTTCTTGGCTCAGTCAGAATATTTAAACTACAGGACCAGAAAGTCCAAGGCACATATCATGGCATGCACTGTTGAGGATCATTTCCCCCTTCGAGTGCTCTGCTTATAGAGGACCTGCACTGACAGTTTTTGATGGCAATGTTGAATATTTATCACTCTGTTCAATGAACAATGTGGCAGAGAAAGAAGAGGAAATGGTTGTATGTTGTATCACTTGTGATGATGCACACTAGAAGTCAGAGTAACTGCATACCGAAGAAGAGAATTTACATGCAGAAATTCATACTTGAAAAATATGTTTTATTGTTAATAAGGAATGCTGTATACATAGATATAAACTGACATTTGTGGAATATTACACCACAAAAGAAACTTTGCATTGGCCATTGTAAGCCCATTGTGTAAATTTAGAAGAAGCTAAAGAAATAAAATATAACTGGGTGCTCAGTAACTATCACTTATTGTTATCATCTGGGAGTAGTAGCTGAACATAATCCAGACTTTGTGACGACAAAACCCACCCTGATTATGATTTGGTTTGATTCAGTTTGATTGGTGAGAGGAAGAAGCTTATTTCATCAGTCAAGAAGCTGGTGTATTCTTCACCATTTTTTCTTATTCCCAGAAGCTTAATGAAGATGAATGTCTGACACGGAGCAGTGCAGATAAGAGTCACCCTGACAAAAGCAAGTCTGTCAAGAGAATATGGTCCTTGATTTGATTGCATGCAAATTTTGAAGCATGATATACTTCTTTTTAACCCTGAGTAGAAGCCAAGTTTTGATATCCTTTCCACCAGCATAAATCTGATACAAGAAATTACTCTGGATATAATTGACACTAAGATCCGGCCCAGAGTATTAAAATAGCGGGTAACATTCCACAATTTAGCAGTGATATAATTGCACATCACTGAGACAGCATATTTTGAATTGCTACTAAACTTTAAAAATATTTTGAAGCTGTATGTGAATGATCACATAAAGTTTCTGAAGAAGCACAGTTACCTTTATACATAGATTTATAAAATTTTTTAATGTTTATAAACCAACCAAACCTATCAACTAACAGTTGATGTGTTTTTAAATGTATTAATATTTTCCATTAAGACTAAATATAAAAAAATGTGTCAATGAGAATATACTCTAAAATATTAGCAAATAAGCACTTACTCAGAAAGTTCCTTCTTTTGACATGTATGACAATTATGTTTAGCCAGCTGACATGCAGAATACTGTTTACACCGGGCAATGAGTTTACAACTAAAATGATTTCTTAAATTATTTTAGAATAAATTAATGAGTGTATGCTGCTGGTGGTGTTTTTTTAAGAATTGGGTCCATTCAATGTGATTCTAAAGAGAAAAAGAGCAACGCATTTGTTATTTGCTTTACATTTTGTTACAAATGTCAGTATTAGTATCCATTTAGGGTTTCTTACCTTAATTAAACAGTTGTGTCATTAAGCTAAGAACTAAAGATGGACACAATTACAGCATTACTAAAATGCTTTATTAAATAGTCAAGAATCGCAGTAAACACATTTTCTCTCAAGCATGCCAATGACCCCATTTCCAGGCATTCACGACATTTTTGCTGCAGTATAAAGCTGAGGAGATGGAATTTATGTTCATCTTGGAGTCTTCTGTTGCAGAAAAGCTGTGAAAATGCAGCATAGTGCTGCGCCACTGTAGGAATAGCCCTCCCTAGTATTCCTCTCTCCCCTGCTGTCTTTCAGGAGGACAATTCACTGCTGAAAATCTGGGGATGACTTAGATATGAGACTGAAAGGAGCAGAGAGAGAGGCTGAGTAAATGGGTTTTTTCCTATATTCTGTTTTTGTGGTCTTGGACAACTGTCTCCAGGCAAACATTTGCTCTCCTGTGCACAGTTCAGGCAGCTCAGTTGTCTTTACATAATAGAAGAGTAGCTCCAAAGTCTGATTTTGAATGCATGGTGATCAGCTGAGTTGACAGGGATAAGGGCATCAAAGTTTATAGTGCCAGATCTAGAAAATTGTATTTTACCTTCATATTTCTGAGCCAGGAAATTTTAGAAGAGTATGGGCACCATTTTTTCTGTAGCAGCTGAATTTCTGTCCAAATATACATGAATTTTGTTTGCTCATTCCATAAGTCCTTCACACATCATTTAAAATTACTCTGCCTAATCTGAATATCACCTGCTCCAGAAAACCAGTGTTGTGTTTTAGCAGAAACAGAATCCAGAACGACCCTTACAATGTGTGGCTAGTTCCTGTCATCTAGAGCTCTCCCTGAAACATAAACTCACTTCAGGACAATTAATACTGAATTCTAATGCTGCGTTTCATGGGGTGTTCCCATCTGCATCTCCTGCTATGAGACAAGTATCATGCTGTGCTTGTCATCATAAATAACATTAGTAGGATTCTCCTTTGACACCACCACATGACCAAGGATGTATTGTTTGCCAAAGAATTATGAGTTGCTCTGTGAGGGCTTTGATGACACATGATCATATGAAGTACTTCAAGAAGCTCCTAAGTAGTCCATGTCCATATGCTAAAATAAATAGTTACACACTAAGCCATGCAGGTAAACTGAATGTTCCAAGAAAGATGTAATTGACAAATTGTTGTATTTCAGACAAACCCACGTCAGAATGTATCAGTAATTCAGGAGGCTATTGCTGAGTAATAACAGACTAGTGCCTTTCACATGTACACAAAAAAAAAGAAAATAAAAACATTAGCTTGTGTGGTCAGGAAGCCATTAAAAATGTTGCCATTTTCTAGTCAAGCAAAGGAGTGATTTGTGCTTGGCTCTCTGCTGTTAGCACAGCTCTATATTGCAGCTGTTTGGATTGTATCTATAAAATTTTGCAGCCATTTTGTTTCATTAAACATTGCAAAAGTTATCTGTCTGAGTTTGGAATGTATGTCACCATGTTCTGTAAGTTAATGTTCAGCTCAAGAGTGAAAAGAAAGCTGGTGGATGTGAGAGAGAAAACTGTTAGTGTGATCTGAAATTTGCCAGCATACTAACACTGAAAAGTAACACAACTCAGAAAAAGATATCCCATATCCAGCAAAGCTTAACTTCAATAGGTTTGATTCCATTTAAAGCTAAGCATCTATCCAAGTGCCTTGCTGGATTGTGTCCGAAGATGACAGCAGAGTATGGTTTCTGGGTTTCTTATAGTCAGTTCTTTCCATTGGTTTTGTGGTCTAAAGATTTTATTTCTTTGTCAAATTAAAAGATTTGACCAGAATCTGTGGACTTCTGCTCTGCTGATACCACTTTAGATTTCCACTCTCGTAAATAAGAGAACTTGTTCCTTGTCCCAGACTTCTCAACTGTGCATCTGCCCTTGTGTATGAGCAGGATCAAAACTGAGTTACAGCTGGCCATGGAGGGCTTTCAGCAGCTCCTTTGAGCTGCAGATCCCCTGGAGTAGCACAGTCCCACACAGACCTATGGGGTGCAATCCTCTCTCTAGCAAGGAACTGGGAATGTTTCCATTCTGTTCAGCAGTGTTTGATTCCATTTATTTACCATAACAATTGAACTGCATTATAAGGTATTGCTTGAGTAAAGATTTCAAGCTCAGGATCTGCATGTCTAAATCTAAGGAGCTCCAGGTATGGTTATCTTAATGTCTCTTTGATGCTCTAAGGGCTTCTCTCTGGGCTGAAGTCTAACCTAGAAGAGCACCTTAAGTCTTTCCAACAGGTACAGCATAGTCAACCATCTTTTTCCTGGCTCAGTCTTTGGTGTGCCAATTTTATTTTGTTTTTATATGCTTGCTGCAGCTGTAACAAGCAAAGTTAGCTTCTGGTTTTAGGTTATATTTGTAAGCTTTCTGTCAACATGTAAACAAATGGCGAAGGTCTTTACTAATCTAATACTTAGCAATTATAGAGAAGATTCTCTTCTCTCTTTGATTTCCCTTGTGACTCTGCTTTAATTACACTTGTTTCTATTATGTGTTTTCTCTAGGTGCACAAATGCCTCATGAGTTTTGTTGTCTTCCTTTCTTGCATTTCTTTCAATTTTAATGCCATTTACTCGTGTCCCACTGTTAGTTGGTTTTGGTAGAGTTCTTTAAGCTGTAGAAATACTGTCTGATTATTCATGCCAAGGAAAGATCAGATGTATGTAATACAAAACAGACACTAAAATAACTCTGAAAGCCAGGTGAAACCAAAGAATCTTCCTAATTGAAGATTGGAGCATAATGTTCTGTCATTGCAAGCCTCAGATCTCTCTGTTATTTGTCTTTAAACATTCAGAAGAAAATCTCTGCAGCTCATACATTTGCTGTGCAATTTTCTTTCTATTTCCATGAGTCTAAATGCCACATTTTTCTTTTTGTTAGATGGTGACATTTATGTGATGGTTACACAGGTAAATGACAGTGTTTAGTTGCAGCAATTCTGTACCACACCTGTTATTATTCCATTGAACCTTTTGGAAAAGTCTGTATGCAAGCGATCAATGTCCTGCTGAAGAAGGGAATGTCATTCAGCTGATGTGTGCATTCCACTTTCTGACCTACTGTGTACATGTTTAAAAGCCTCCTTTTCAATAACTTGA